CGGTAGGGTGTCCTGTAAAGAGTGATAGTCTGGACGGCAGAGTGTGGTAGGGTATCCTGTAAAGAGCGATAGTCTGGACGGCAGAGTGTGGTAGGGTATCCTGTAAAGAGCGATAGTCTGGACGGCAGAGTGTGGTAGGGTATCCTGTAAAGAGCGATAGTCTGGACGGCAGAGGGCGGTAGGGTATCCTGTAAAGAGTGATAGTCTGGACGGCAGAGGGTGGTAGGGTAACCTGTAAAGAGCGATAGTCTGGACGGCAGAGGGTGGTAGGGTAACCTGTAAAGAGCGATAGTCTGGACGGCAGAGGGTGGTAGGGTAACCTGTAAAGAGTGATAGTCTGGACGGCAGAGGGTGGTAGGGTAACCTGTAAAGAGCGATAGTCTGGACGGCAGAGGGTGGTAGGGTAACCTGTAAAGAGTGATAGTCTGGACGGCAGAGGGTGGTAGGGTATCCTGTAAAGAGTGATAGTCTGGACGGCAGAGTGTGGTAGGGTATCCTGTAAAGAGCGATAGTCTGGACGGCAGAGGGCGGTAGGGTATCCTGTAAAGAGTGATAGTCTGGACGGCAGAGGGTGGTAGGGTAACCTGTAAAGAGCGATAGTCTGGACGGCAGAAGGCGGTAGGGTATCCTGTAAAGAGTGATAGTCTGGACGGCAGAGGGTGGTAGGGTGTCCTGTAAAGAGCGATAGTCTGGACGGCAGAGGGTGGTAGGGTGTCCTGTAAAGAGCGATAGTCTGGACGGCAGAGGGCGGTAGGGTGTCCTGTAAAGAGTGATAGTCTGGACGGCAGAGGGTGGTAGGGTATCCTGTAAAGAGCGATAGTCTGGACGGCAGAAGGCGGTAGGGTGTCCTGTAAAGAGCGATAGTCTGGACGGCAGAGGGTGGTAGGGTATCCTGTAAAGAGCGATAGTCTGGACGGCAGAGGGTGGTAGGGTAACCTGTAAAGAGTGATAGTCTGGACGGCAGAGGGTGGTAGGGTATCCTGTAAAGAGCGATAGTCTGGACGGCAGAAGGCGGTAGGGTGTCCTGTAAAGAGCGATAGTCTGGACGGCAGAGGGTGGTAGGGTATCCTGTAAAGAGCGATAGTCTGGACGGCAGAGGGTGGTAGGGTAACCTGTAAAGAGTGATAGTCTGGACGGCAGAGGGTGGTAGGGTATCCTGTAAAGAGTGATAGTCTGGACGGCAGAGGGTGGTAGGGTATCCTGTAAAGAGTGATAGTCTGGACGGCAGAGGGTGGTAGGGTGTCCTGTAAAGAGTGATAGTCTGGACGGCAGAGGGTGGTAGGGTAACCTGTAAAGAGTGATAGTCTGGACGGCAGAGGGTGGTAGGGTATCCTGTAAAGAGCGATAGTCTGGACGGCAGAAGGCGGTAGGGTGTCCTGTAAAGAGCGATAGTCTGGACGGCAGAAGGCGGTAGGGTGTCCTGTAAAGAGCGATAGTCTGGACGGCAGAAGGCGGTAGGGTGTCCTGTAAAGAGCGATAGTCTGGACGGCAGAAGGCGGTAGGGTGTCCTGTAAAGAGCGATAGTCTGGACGGCAGAAGGCGGTAGGGTATCCTGTAAAGAGCGATAGTCTGGACGGCAGAAGGCGGTAGGGTGTCCTGTAAAGAGCGATAGTCTGGACGGCAGAAGGCGGTAGGGTATCCTGTAAAGAGCGATAGTCTGGACGGCAGAAGGCGGTAGGGTGTCCTGTAAAGAGCGATAGTCTGGACGGCAGAGGGCGGTAGGGTATCCTGTAAAGAGTGATAGTCTGGACGGCAGAGGGTGGTAGGGTATCCTGTAAAGAGCGATAGTCTGGACGGCAGAGGGTGGTAGGGTATCCTGTAAAGAGTGATAGTCTGGACGGCAGAGGGTGGTAGGGTATCCTGTAAAGAGCGATAGTCTGGACGGCAGAAGGCGGTAGGGTGTCCTGTAAAGAGCGATAGTCTGGACGGCAGAGGGTGGTAGGGTATCCTGTAAAGAGCGATAGTCTGGACGGCAGAGGGTGGTAGGGTAACCTGTAAAGAGTGATAGTCTGGACGGCAGAGGGTGGTAGGGTATCCTGTAAAGAGCGATAGTCTGGACGGCAGAAGGCGGTAGGGTGTCCTGTAAAGAGCGATAGTCTGGACGGCAGAGGGCGGTAGGGTATCCTGTAAAGAGTGATAGTCTGGACGGCAGAAGGCGGTAGGGTATCCTGTAAAGAGCGATAGTCTGGACGGCAGAGGGTGGTAGGGTATCCTGTAAAGAGTGATAGTCTGGACGGCAGAGGGTGGTAGGGTATCCTGTAAAGAGTGATAGTCTGGACGGCAGAAGGCGGTAGGGTATCCTGTAAAGAGCGATAGTCTGGACGGCAGAGGGCGGTAGGGTATCCTGTAAAGAGCGATAGTCTGGACGGCAGAGGGTGGTAGGGTGTCCTGTAAAGAGCGATAGTCTGGACGGCAGAAGGCGGTAGGGTGTCCTGTTAAGAGCGATAGTCTGGACGGCAGAGGGTGGTAGGGTGTCCTGTAAAGAGCGATAGTCTGGACGGCAGAGGGTGGTAGGGTGTCCTGTTAAGAGCGATAGTCTGGACGGCAGAAGGCGGTAGGGTGTCCTGTTAAGAGCGATAGTCTGGACGGCAGAGGGCGGTAGGGTATCCTGTAAAGAGCGATAGTCTGGACGGCAGAGGGTGGTAGGGTATCCTGTTAAGAGCGATAGTCTGGACGGCAGAAGGCGGTAGGGTGTCCTGTAAAGAGCGATAGTCTGGACGGCAGAGGGTGGTAGGGTATCCTGTAAAGAGTGATAGTCTGGACGGCAGAGGGTGGTAGGGTATCCTGTTAAGAGCGATAGTCTGGACGGCAGAAGGCGGTAGGGTATCCTGTAAAGAGTGATAGTCTGGACGGCAGAGGGTGGTAGGGTGTCCTGTAAAGAGCGATAGTCTGGACGGCAGAGGGTGGTAGGGTGTCCTGTAAAGAGTGATAGTCTGGACGGCAGAAGGCGGTAGGGTGTCCTGTAAAGAGCGATAGTCTGGACGGCAGAGGGCGGTAGGGTATCCTGTGAAGAGCGATAGTCTGGACGGCAGAGGGTGGTAGGGTATCCTGTGAAGAGCGATAGTCTGGACGGCAGAGTGTGGTAGGGTATCCTGTAAAGAGCGATAGTCTCGATGGCAGAGGGTGGTAGGGTATCCTGTAAAGAGTGATAGTCTGGACGGCAGAGGGTGGTAGGGTATCCTGTAAAGAGCGATAGTTTGGACGGCAGAAGGCGGTAGGGTATCCTGTAAAGAGCGGTAGTAACCGAGGATTGACGACTAATTGCATAATTGGCTGAGATGATGTGAGGCCCCTTCGACGCACGTGACCCCGGATCAGCTGGCGCGGCACAAACCTCGCCATTACCATTTCACTCACTCAGAGCTGTATTGATATTGACCGCGAGGCGACGACGCCAACAGATTGACGTGGGCGCTGCACACCTGAAGAACATTTCTCTATAAACGAAATAACAACAATAACAATAATAATAACAATAAGTCAAGACTCATGATGATGAAAACAAGGCATTCCACAGTTTTCTTTAACGAGACATAATCTCAATGGTTCTGTTCTGCTGGACGGTACAGAAATGAGTGTCAACCAAGCGAAGTACCATATCAAATCGGCCCAGACTCAGTTTTTCAAGGAGAGGCTATCTGAACGACCACTGCATCGAGTTTATGTGCAGTGAGTTGAGAGGGTAGGCAACCCTGCAGAGTCCTTCGCTTGGATGAAGTCGGCTGGCCTGAAAAGTGACACAGATTGCTTTCTGTTTGCTGCTCAGGACCAGTCACTTCCCACTCGAAACCGTCAATGTGTGATTTTGCATCAAAATTTTTATATGAAATGTAGATTATGTAATGAATTTAATGCGACAGTCCAACACATTGTCAGAGGATGCCCAGCTTTGGCACAAACACAGTATCTTAAGCGACATGATGGGGTGGCTCGATCATTTTATTCCCGTCTTCGCCATGCTTGTGGTTTTGACACAGGTCCACCCATGGTACGACCCGAAATATGTAGAGGGCGTCATGGAAAATGATCAATACAAAATTCTTTGGAATAGGCCCATTCACAGACTTAGGCGTATCCAGGCCAACAAACCTGATCTTGTCCTTTTTGATAAACCCAATGAAATCATTTATATCATTGAATTTTCTGTCCCCTTTGACCGTAATGTGATTGACAAGATTTAGGAAAAACATGGCAAATATGCGGACCTCGCTTTCAATGTCAAGCTTGCATCCAAAGTACTAAGTTGTCCGACTCCCCATTGTTCTCGGTGCCTTAGGTTTGGTACCTCCCATTCTGTTGACTGACATTGGGAGAGTACCCGTGTTTGCTACCGGGAATACAGCCCTTCTGACAATCTGGGTAATGCAGAAGGCTGCAGTGTTGGGGAGTCTCCACATTCTCCGAAAAGTTCTTGGTACGTTTGACTAGGCAGCGCTTTCTGAGAGAAGTCCCATTCGCTGTCTGGGCTGCGTGTAGAGGGGGCAAGGGCCCTGAGCTGATGATGAGCCTAACCAGCCTGACTGTGCCAGGATCACACAAACCCTCTTTGCTGCATTTTTTAAATTTTAATCTGTAAATAATAATAATAACAACAATAATCATAATAATAATGATGATGATGATGACGATGACGATGACGACGACGACAACAACAACAACAACATCATCATCATCATCATCATCATAATAATAACAATGGCTGGAGGACGTCCGTGCGTCAACCGAGGCGGCTCCTCTATATGCTTCAAGAATGAATGAATGAATGAATGAATGAATGAATGAATGAATGAATGACTGACTTAAACAGTAATAAGAACAGTTGCGTGCGCGAGTTATGGCTCATCTTCCGAATCAATATTTAACAGCAACTTGTGACGCAGTATGTTAACAATTCAGCCAAGCTTGACACTGAGGCCACAGTCATGTACGTCACAGCGAGATGATCATCAACAAGTTATAATTAAAGTAGAACAAGTACTCATTACAATAAACTTACTTACATATATCGGGGCGACGTTCATTATCACAGTTGCCAGTTGAATAGGACGTTGGGCGCATGCGCTGTGACGTGAACGATGTGGAACAGCTGTTGCAATTGATTTCAATAAGTTGCAGTATCCAGCTGCACGTGGCTTCATCCAGGTAGTGGCGTGACGGGGTCGATACGTCAACAGCAGCCCACTGTATGTGATGGGATGTCGTCGCATCGTATCAAAATGATGGCAGCCGACCAGACAAAGTAACACAGCCTCACCCATGCGCAGCAGGGGACAAAAGACCCAAGCATGATGGCTAACTTCCCTATGCGGTCTGACTTCCAGGAGAACAGTATCCATGGCCAGGCCCCTACCCCAGTACAGTAGGGACAAGGGGTGAGACCAAGATGCTGTCTGGGTCCAGAGCCTGCTGCTCCACAGGACACTAGTTGAACACTTGCAGGGAGTTGACCGACCCATTGTACCAAGTTCTCAATTGGAGTGAGTGAGTATGGTTTTACGCCGCTTTTAGCAATATTCCAGCAATATCACGGCGGGGGGCACCAGAAATGGGCTTCACACATTGTACCCATGTCGGGAATCGAACCCGGGTCTTTGGCGTGACGAGAGAACGCTTTGACCACTAGGCTACCCGATCGCCCCTCTCAATTGGATGAAAGAAGGGGCACGGGTGGCCCAGTCGTCTAAGGCGCCGTTATTGGCTGTGCGGAGTTGCGTCCCTTAGGCAGGCCAGAAATTGTGATTGTGGGTTCGAATACCCGATCATGTTTCTAGGTTTATCAGCACCATGCCCGTCCTCGTGGGTTTCACTGAAGTGGTAAACGACTGACACCTGTTTCACTTCGGGCTTTCCTCCAAAATTAAGCTGACACGCCGTGGTATAAATGGAATACTGTTAAAAGTGGCGTTAAACCCAACTCACTCACTCACTCCCTGGGTGAAAGAAGGGAACAGATGCTCAAAGTGTGCCTGTAACCAAGGACGGCAGACTGTCCACACAGGAAAGTGTGCCTGTATCCACGGACGCCAGACTGTCCACACAGGAAAGTGTGCCTGTATCCACGGACGCCAGACTGTCCACACAGGAAAGTGTGCCTGTATCCACGGACGCCAGACTGTCCACACAGGAAAGTGTGTCTGTATCCACGGACGCCAGACTGTCCACACAGGAAAGTGTGTCTGTATCCACGGACGGCAGACTGTCCACACAGGAAAGTGTGTCTGTATCCACGGACGCCAGACTGTCCACACAGGAAAGTGTGTCTGTATCCACGGACGCCAGACTGTCCACACAGGAAAGTGTGTCTGTATCCACGGACGGCAGACTGTCCACACAGGAAAGTGTGTCTGTATCCACGGACGCCAGACTGTCCACACAGGAAAGTGTGTCTGTATCCACGGACGCCAGACTGTCCACACAGGAAAGTGTGTCTGTATCCACGGACGGCAGACTGTCCACACAGGAAAGTGTGTCTGTATCCACGGACGGCAGACTGTCCACACAGGAAAGTGTGCCTGTATCCACGGACGCCAGACTGTCCACACAGGAAAGTGTGTCTGTATCCACGGACGGCAGACTGTCCACACAGGAAAGTGTGCCTGTATCCACGGACGCCAGACTGTCCACACAGGAAAGTGTGCCTGTATCCACGGACGCCAGACTGTCCACACAGGAAAGTGTGTCTGTATCCACGGACGCCAGACTGTCCACACAGGAAAGTGTGTCTGTATCCACGGACGCCAGACTGTCCACACAGGAAAGTGTGCCTGTATCCACGGACGGCAGACTGTCCACACAGGAAAGTGTGCCTGTATCCACGGACGCCAGACTGTCCACACAGGAAAGTGTGTCTGTATCCACGGACGACAGCCTGTCCACACAGGAAAGTGTGCCTGTATCCACGGACGCCAGACTGTCCACACAGGAAAGTGTGCCTGTATCCACGGACGCCAGACTGTCCACACAGGAAAGTGTGCCTGTATCCACGGACGCCAGACTGTCCACACAGGAAAGTGTGCCTGTATCCACGGACGGCAGACTGTCCACACAGGAAAGTGTGTCTGTATCCACGGACGCCAGACTGTCCACACAGGAAAGTGTGTCTGTATCCACGGACGCCAGCCTGTCCACACAGGAAAGTGTGCCTGTATCCACGGACGCCAGACTGTCCACACAGGAAAGTGTGCCTGTATCCACGGACGGCAGACTGTCCACACAGGAAAGTGTGCCTGTATCCACGGACGCCAGACTGTCCACACAGGAAAGTGTGCCTGTATCCACGGACGGCAGACTGTCCACACAGGAAAGTGTGTCTGTATCCACGGACGCCAGACTGTCCACACAGGGAAGTGTGCCTGTATCTACGGACGGCAGACTGTCCACACAGGAAAGTGTGCCTGTATCCACGGACGGCAGACTGTCCACACAGGAAAGTGTGTCTGTATCCACGGACGCCAGACTGTCCACACAGGAAAGTGTGTCTGTATCCACGGACGCCAGACTGTCCACACAGGAAAGTGTGTCTGTATCCACGGACGGCAGACTGTCCACACAGGAAAGTGTGTCTGTATCCACGGACGCCAGACTGTCCACACAGGAAAGTGTGTCTGTATCCACGGACGCCAGACTGTCCACACAGGAAAGTGTGTCTGTATCCACGGACGGCAGACTGTCCACACAGGAAAGTGTGTCTGTATCCACGGACGGCAGACTGTCCACACAGGAAAGTGTGCCTGTATCCACGGACGCCAGACTGTCCACACAGGAAAGTGTGTCTGTATCCACGGACGGCAGACTGTCCACACAGGAAAGTGTGCCTGTATCCACGGACGGCAGACTGTCCACACAGGAAAGTGTGCCTGTATCCACGGACGCCAGACTGTCCACACAGGAAAGTGTGTCTGTATCCACGGACGCCAGACTGTCCACACAGGAAAGTGTGTCTGTATCCACGGACGCCAGACTGTCCACACAGGAAAGTGTGCCTGTATCCACGGACGGCAGACTGTCCACACAGGAAAGTGTGCCTGTATCCACGGACGCCAGACTGTCCACACAGGAAAGTGTGTCTGTATCCACGGACGCCAGCCTGTCCACACAGGAAAGTGTGCCTGTATCCACGGACGCCAGACTGTCCACACAGGAAAGTGTGCCTGTATCCACGGACGCCAGACTGTCCACACAGGAAAGTGTGCCTGTATCCACGGACGCCAGACTGTCCACACAGGAAAGTGTGCCTGTATCCACGGACGGCAGACTGTCCACACAGGAAAGTGTGTCTGTATCCACGGACGCCAGACTGTCCACACAGGAAAGTGTGTCTGTATCCACGGACGCCAGCCTGTCCACACAGGAAAGTGTGCCTGTATCCACGGACGCCAGACTGTCCACACAGGAAAGTGTGCCTGTATCCACGGACGGCAGACTGTCCACACAGGAAAGTGTGCCTGTATCCACGGACGCCAGACTGTCCACACAGGAAAGTGTGCCTGTATCCACGGACGGCAGACTGTCCACACAGGAAAGTGTGTCTGTATCCACGGACGCCAGACTGTCCACACAGGAAAGTGTGCCTGTATCTACGGACGGCAGACTGTCCACACAGGAAAGTGTGCCTGTATCCACGGACGGCAGACTGTCCACACAGGAAAGTGTGCCTGTATCCACGGACGCCAGACTGTCCACACAGGAAAGTGTGCCTGTATCCACGGACGCCAGACTGCCCACACAGGAAAGTGTGCCTGTATCCACGGACGCCAGCCTGTCCACACAGGAAAGTGTGCCTGTATCCACGGACGCCAGACTGTCCACACAGGAAAGTGTGCCTGTATCCACGGACGCCAGACTGTCCACACAGGAAAGTGTGTCTGTATCCACGGACGCCAGACTGTCCACACAGGAAAGTGTGTCTGTATCCACGGACGCCAGACTGTCCACACAGGAAAGTGTGTCTGTATCCACGGACGCCAGACTGTCCACACAGGAAAGTGTGTCTGTATCCACGGACGGCAGACTGTCCACACAGGAAAGTGTGCCTGTATCCACGGACGGCAGACTGTCCACACAGGAAAGTGTGTCTGTATCCACGGACGCCAGACTGTCCACACAGGAAAGTGTGCCTGTATCCACGGACGGCAGACTGTCCACACAGGAAAGTGTGCCTGTATCCACGGACGGCAGACTGTCCACACAGGAAAGTGTGCCTGTATCCACGGACGGCAGACTGTCCACACAGGAAAGTGTGCCTGTATCCACGGACGGCAGACTGTCCACACAGGAAAGTGTGCCTGTATCCACGGACGCCAGACTGTCCACACAGGAAAGTGTGCCTGTAACCAAGGACGGCAGACTGTCCACACAGGAAAGTGTGCCTGTATCCACGGACGCCAGACTGTCCACACAGGAAAGTGTGTCTGTATCCACGGACGCCAGACTGTCCACACAGGAAAGTGTGCCTGTAACCAAGGACGGCAGACTGTCCACATAGGAAAGTGTGCCTGTATCCACGGACGCCAGACTGTCCACACAGGAAAGTGTGTCTGTATCCACGGACGCCAGACTGTCCACACAGGAAAGTGTGCCTGTATCCACGGACGCCAGACTGTCCACACAGGAAAGTGTGCCTGTATCCACGGACGGCAGACTGTCCACACAGGAAAGTGTGCCTGTATCCACGGACGCCAGACTGTCCACACAGGATCTCACAAATATATTGTGATACACATGTAATCTAATGTAATTTTTCTCAGCTGGTCGTCTGTTATTTCGGTCCTGACAAATATATAGTAATACACATGTAATCTAATGTAGTTATTCTCAGATGGTCCTCTGTTATTTCGGTCCTTACAAATATATAGTGATACACATGTAATCTACAACTACAACTTCCGTTTTACAATTGAGAGCGTCGTTTCGGTGTTGGTTCCAACACCGTCACGAGCTTGATAACGGTGGTATAACCTACACCGGAACGTCGCTCCTAATTGTAACCAAGAAGTTGTTCAGCCATAAACCGTATCCTAATGTAGTCCTCCAACTTCCGAATGCCTATCAAAGAAGGACAAGATGTGTTCGTTTCGGCTGTAATAAGCCACCGTAAAATCAATACACAATAAAATCGGTTTAGTACAAGACCAGAGATACATTATCCAGTTTCATTATTTAAAACTTACATTTATTACTTTCAGTTTCCATTCCTTTCAGCGTTAGTTTCTAAAAGCACAACTACATTTAACAGTAAACACATTGGGACTTTTCAAAGTTCGTAAAATCGAGTGGTGTCATGTCTTTGTATATGCACTGTATGATTCTAGGTAGAACTATAACAAGGTTTAAATGTTTGTTGAGAGAATACATGAATACTCTGCAGAATATTATGTCGATCATCCGCCATTAACAACCCAAACATTCCCTCAAGACTCTTATAAACAGTGCATTTTCTCTTGGGCTATCTTAATGATTATCCATTATGTTAACAAACCACGGTAGAGCATGTAACAAAATATGTTTATTAAATGTATCAGTTATCAATACACGTAGTCTTACACGTTCTATAATTTGTTTATAAAATTATGCAGGCATTAGGAATATATATAAGAGTGTGATATATGCATTTTTATGCTTGCCATCCTGTTAGTGCACAGACCCGTGAAGATTCCGGGGTAGAATAAGTCTGCAGCAACCCATGCTTGTAGTAGAAGGCGACTATGCTTGTCGTAAGAGGGGACTAACGGGATCGGGTGGTCAGGCTCGCTGACTTGGTTGATGCAAGTCACAGTATCCCAAATTGCGTGGATCGATGCTCATGATGTCAAACACTGGATTGTCTGGTCCAGACTCGATTATTTACAGACCGCCTCCGTGGTCTAGTGGTAGAGCGTCCGCCCGGAGAGCGGAAGGTCCGGAGTTCGCGACCGCGTCATACCAAAAGACGTTAAAAGATGGTACTCGGCATTATGGGGCTAAAAAATTTTAAACTGCGGCATGGTATCTTAGAGAGCTAGCACTATAAATCGGCATCAGTCCGGACTAGTACAAGCAGCCACACAAACACACACACGTGCATGCACGTCGCTATATAAGTGCAATAATCTTGGACGCGAGGTTAAACCCCATTTCACCTCACCTCGATTATTTACAGACCGATTTCATATAGTTGGGATATTGCTGAGTGCGGCATTAAACAAACTAAATGTTAGTCTACATGGTGACAGTATGCAAGCCTGGACTGGTTTGCTCGATAGGGGATATGCCATGTGCAGCTTACGGAAAGGAACGAGTGGTGTAGTGATCAACCAGGAAGCTGTGTGACAGTAGCGTGCAGTCGGAGGCCGTGGAACTGTCTTTATACACACCTCATTCACATCTTTCATCACACAGCAGTGTGTTGCTGTAGTGTGACAGTGTTTTGTGAGGTTGTAATCGCCTGTCTTAACTTCACCTGTCTTGTGAGGCGGCCTGTGTAGACTGTACCTGTGTGTGGGGGTGAAGTGGCCTGTGTAGACTGTACCTGTGTGTGGGGGTGAAGCGGCCTGTGTAGACTGTAGCTGTGTGTGGGGATGAAGTGGCCTGTGTAGACTGTACCTGTGTGTGGGGGTGAGGCGGCCTGTGTAGACTGTACCTGTGTGTGGGGGCGAAGTGGCCTGTGTAGACTGTACCTGTGTGTGGGGGTGAAGTGGCCTGTGTAGACTGTACCTGTGTGTGGGGGTGAAGTGGCCTGTGTAGACTGTACCTGTGTGTGGGGTCGAGGCGGCCTGTGTAGACTGTACCTGTGTGTGGGGGTGAGGCGGCCTGTGTAGACTGTACCTGTGTGTGGGGTCGAGGCGGCCTGTGTAGACTGTACCTGTGTGTGTGGGTGAAGTGGCCTGTGTAGACTGTACCTGTGTGTGGGGGTGAAGTGGCCTGTGTAGACTGTACCTGTGTGTGGGGTCGAGGCGGCCTGTGTAGACTGTACCTGTGTGTGGGGGTGAGGCGGCCTGTGTAGACTGGACCTGTGTGTGGGGTCGAGGCGGCCTGTGTAGACTGTACCTGTGTGTGTGGGTGAAGTGGCCTGTGTAGACTGTACCTGTGTGTGGGAGTGAAGTGGCCTGTGTAGACTGTACCTGTGTGTGGGGTCGAGGCGGCCTGTGTAGACTGTACCTGTGTGGGGGGTCGAGGCGGCCTGTGTAGACTGTACCTGTGTGTGGGGGTGAGGCGGCCTGTGTAGACTGTACCTGTGTGTGGGGTCGAGGCGGCCTGTGTAGACTGTACCTGTGTGTGTGGGTGAAGTGGCCTGTGTAGACTGTACCTGTGTGTGGGGGTGAGGCGGCCTGTGTAGACTGTACCTGTGTGTGGGGTCGAGGCGGCCTGTGTAGACTGTACCTGTGTGTGTGGGTGAAGTGGCCTGTGTAGACTGTACCTGTGTGTGGGGGTGAGGCGGCCTGTGTAGACTGTACCTGTGTGTGGGGTCGAGGCGGCCTGTGTAGACTGTACCTGTGTGTGTGGGTGAAGTGGCCTGTGTAGACTGTACCTGTGTGTGTGGGTGAAGTGGCCTGTGTAGACTGTACCTGTGTGTGGGGGTGAAGTGGCCTGTGTAGACTGTACCTGTGTGTGGGGGTGAAGTGGCCTGGACGACCCACCCGAATCTGGGACACTGGGAGGAGAAATCTGATACGGGTAAGTCCGTTACTACATTGTCATGTTGATTGCGTACTTCAAGCATAGTTCGCAGGATTATGGCTCGAAGTAAGATAGTACTATCCAATCTTTGTTTGACTGTTTCACAACATGTCATGTAAAGGTACTTAGTGAGCCATTGTATCATGTTGTTCTACTTTCGGGTTGATCTGACGCTCTGATGGCCTCAATCGCGAGAGAATCTCCCCTGGCAACGATCATGCACTGATCGGTATGCCTGGTGGTGGTATTCAGGACGTTATTGATCAGAGTTCAAAAACCCAGGTAGTTGAATGCAATAGCAGTATAGCAGAGACAGGTGTTACCTGCCTTGTGTAAGATAAGGTTTGTAATATCCAGTATCTCACAAGGCTGCGGTATAACAGTGACAGGGGTTCCCAAGCTAGCACACCTACATCGGGCACCATCGGCCAAGCGTCTGCGAATATCGGCGGCCCGAAGACGTTTTGCTCATCGGATCGACGTCGACCCGACGTCGGAAATAATTATCGGCCCAGCATCGGTCCGACTGTAACCGGAGTGGTTTGGGTGAACGAATCACTAAAAGCAGGTTGATTTGTTGATGACAGTTGTTTAATTCATTTGAATTAATAAACAGAGGCTCTGTGAAAAAAACTATGTGAGTTAAAATATGCACAATACCAACACATGCAAATAAAACATTACATTACAACTTATTAACAAATATTAGAATATTATATGATCAGTTTTATCTTATTTCTTTTTCTTATCTTAGAACATCCTAAAAATATCGGAATTCAAACTACCGTTTTTCCTCTATTATACGCAAAGGCGGTCTATTAATTTCGCGAGAGACGTTGAGACGGCATGTACTATAGACTTTGCTTGTATTAGAGACCCGGCGTGTAATAGAGGAAATACCTTATACACTATACATTATACATTATACATTATACATTATACCTTATACCTGATACTTCACACCTTATATCTCAGATCTTATACCTTATACCTTATACCTTATACATCATATCTTATACATCATACATTATACATTATACATTATACATTATACATTTTACATTATACAGTACACCTCATACCTATACCTAGTACCTTATACCTTATACCTCACACCTTATATATCATACCTTACACATTATACATTAATACATTATACATTATACATTATACATTATACCTCATACCTCATACCCCATACATAATACATTATACAGTCCAGTGTAGTAATTAATTGTTTTGCGAGTCCCTTTTTAAGATATTAAGAGGCTGTCGCCAAGGTGACCCAGTGTCGCCGTATATTTTTATAATTTGTGCGGAGATTTTGGCAAATATGATCAGAAATAATCCTAGAATAAAAGGAATTAAGACAGGAAAAATTGAACACTTGCTGTCTCAATTTGCAGATGACACATCATTAGGTTTGGATGGAACAGAAAAGGGCCTTTATGCTGTATCCAACACATTGCAGTTTTTTGCTAGATTTTCTGGACTTAAGGTTAATGCAGAGAAAACTAAACTAATTTGGATTGGTTCAAAAAAGAGATCAAGATATGAACTATATTAGGATTTGCATCTAGACTGGACTAATACAAAGTTTAAACTATTAGGAATAAACTTTGATGTTGATTAATAGAATATTGTGGAGGACAATTATAAAATTAAGCTTGAAAAAATTGAGAGAGAAATGAACCTATGGACGTTAAGAAATTTGACTCCAGAAGGTAGAAATATAGTCCTAAAAAGCCTCTTACTGTCAAAATTGAATCATGTTTTTTCCACCATACCCAACCCTCCAAGGGATGTGATTGATACGTTTCAGAAAAGATGTTTTAAATTTGTATGGAAGGGAAAAGACAAGTAATGCCTCAACCCCCTAGACATGGCGAAATTAACATGCCAATTATAAAGGATGTGGTTGCAGCACAAAAACTTTCATTGATTAGAAATAATATAGAATATGATGGAGTTGTAAATGCAGTCAAACAATTTTGTAAGGCAAAGGAATACAACAACTTTCATTGATCAGAAGATTATATTGTTATCACTCAAAATGGACTGAGTAAGTTGCTTGCTGTATTCCAAATAGAGAGAGATTATGGTTGGCAGATACCTCCTATGTTGATGCATTTATTGCTCCAAATACCTTGAATGTATTTTGGAAGGATGTTTCAGAAGCTTTGGCAACATATCTGTCCACAAAGAAAGTGAAAACTGGTCAAGATATTATGAGACAATCTATATGGTTTAATAATGGAATACAAATAGGAAGTAGTCCAATCTTTTATGAACATTGGTCAAGCAGAGGTGTAGCCTTCATTGGGGTTTTAGTGGATGACAAAGGTAAATTTTATGTATTTGATGCTTTTGTGCATATGTATGGAATCCAAACAAATTATATAGAATATCATGGAGTTGTAAATGCAGTCAAACAATTTTGTAAGGCAAAGGAATACAATATTTTCAATTCTATATCTCCTCGACCAACCATGCCACTCAACGTATCACATCTTCTAAACCAAAATATGGGTAGTAAAGAATTTTTCAAGATTTTATCAGCACAAGAGTTTGTTAAATTCCATGGCATTGAACAATGGGAAAGTATACTAAATAAGACATTTAGTGAAACAAATTGGCAAGAACATATATTGATGGCAAAAAGGTGCACTCAAAGTGAGGATAATAGATGGTTTCAGTTTAAGACTATTCACTACATTCTTACAACTAACAAATATTTATATAAAATTGGATATGTTGATTCTCCTATGTGTACTTTCTGTACAAATCAACCTGTAACTTTAATCCATATGTTGTATGATTGTGAACATGTAAGAAATATTTGGGAGAGACTGTATGTCTGGTTAAAATCTGTTGTGGAAGGAACCATTGATTTAAACAGAGAAAATGATTTATTTGGATTTCAAGGCAAACACAACAACCCACTGAATATTGTACTTTAATATCAAAACAAGTAATATACAGACAACGTAGGAAAGGATTAAGGCCACATTTTGAACACATACAGCATGAGATAAAACGTTATTACAATGCTACAAACGTAATGTCATTCACAAATTGTAATTGTGCAATCATTTTTAGTTTTTAGTCCTTTTTCCACACTTTGTTAAAAACTGAACAGTGATACACTGATACAGTACGTGGACTTCACAGGCAAGAATTTATTGTATGGAAAGATGTACATTTTTTTGGAAAACCATGTACAACAATTATATTGACAAGACATGTATATATAAATGTTGTACCTGCTGAGATGAATAAAAAAATCAATAAAAACATCATACATTATACATTATACATTATACATTACACCTCATACCTCTACCTAGTACCTTGTACTTTATACCTCACACCTTATATCTCATACCTTATACCTTATACTTATATATTATACATTATACCTCATACCTCATACCTCTACCTAGTAACTTATACCTTTATACCTTTATACCTTTATACCTCATACCTCATACCTCATACCTTATACCTAAAACCGTATACTTTTCACCTTATACCTAAAACTTCATATCGTATACCTCATATATATACCTCATATCTTATACCTTGTACTTTACACCTCATACATATACCCTGTACCTTATTCCACAAAGCAAATGTTTAATACCAGTATTTCATGGTTGGTCTTCAACATCATATGGAAATGTCTGAGTCGAGCAGCCAGTGGGTGTCTTATCCTCTTTGAACAGTGTGACTTCATTGCATTAGGCATTCAGACTAAATGCGGGTAAGATATATTGATCATCAACTTTCGGTGTAGGTTCTAACACCGTTGTCAAGCAAGTGATGTACGGATTATATTTGGCAAGCATTTACTGAAGTCTTTGAGGTTGGTTATAATTGTGATGAGTACATGCTAAGAAATGCATTCGACACAGTACCTCAATGAACAGACAAAATGGCGAGCTGAGTGTAGCATAGATTGGAGGAACGTCAATATCCCATATCCCCGAATGTTTGGCAAATCTAACATTGATACGTCTAGTTTGTGGGACGCCGCGAGCGTCATGTCAGAGCAACAATTATTGACCATGGTCAGTATAGGGTGGTGTGGGGCGGTATCACATTTGACAAGCAAGCGATATACTGACGAATTGGGAAGATGACAATGCAAAACCACACCGTACCCAGGTCGTCACCGACATTAGACTGTTCCGGAAAGTTACTGACTTGTCCCCAAAAGAGCATGTGTGGGATTTTCTGGAATGTACCCAAGAGACCCAACACCCACCATCGTGGCTCAGCTTGGGACAGCTCTTCAGGCAAAATGGTGAGCAATACCAAATGCAACCATACGCAACGACTTATATCCAAAGGATTTGTATGCTTAATGATATGTAAAAGATTTCATTATGGTGTCAGTCAGTGAATTCTCGGGTCCAAGTGTCTGGATTCCACTCGTCAGTTAGAACATTGCCGAGTTCCTGTACAGTTGCGGAAGGACAGCGCATCGTGAGAGGGTGATCAGAAACTCGTTCAACATGTGTTCGATAGGGTTGAGGTCTGATGGCCAGGCTGGTCTCCTGCTCTAGGAAGGCATCAACGACCCTGACCCGATGACATGACACACCTTTTTCCTTTTCTAGAATACCGTCACCATGAGTAAGCAGGATGATGACAACACTCCCCCTGAATCCGGTGCCCGGAATATTCACGTTGCACCAAAGATGGGACAAAACGCATCCGCCAAGGAGGTTTTCAATGTAGGAGTTGTGTATGGCGGAGTGAAACAAACTGTCAACCAACGAGGTAAATATATCTGTTAAATGTTTCCCATCGATTCTGCTTCTGAAGTCCCCGAGTTTCACCAGATGCAACTTTTGAATGGTAATTTCTTGCTGTCCTCCTGTACTTTGTTTAAATAGAGTAGTAACGAGATTGGCAGCATGTCACCTTGTTAAAATAGCACACATTAATAATGGGATAAATTGAATTAAACAGAACTGACAAAGGGCGTAACTGCTAAAACAATTGTAAGGGCAACTTTAAGTTTGATTGTAATTGTTGTTTACAGGTGATGATGAAAGACTACGAGATGATGTAAGTAGATGCATTTTCTCTTCCGAAAATAACACTTTCATACAAGGATGTGTTATTAATCACAATTATATCATAGATAATTTAAAACTCAGTATGTACATGTGTGTGCGTTGACTGCCAAACTACTTACTAGACGTATTGGGATGAGGATCTGATTGAGTGTCTATTGAACTCACCCCGGAGTCCTGCTACAAGTTTGAGCAAACCAGGACCGATGTTTAAACGCCCCGAGCCAATGAGATTACACAAGTAATCACACCACTAAAGGACCCGCATACGGTTAAACAAGGTGTAGTGTTCTCACTTCACAACCAACACACCCTTCTTAAACATGCGATCTTATTGGTGCATCACTCAGTCATCGCTGACTCATATTCTGAAGCTGTCCAAAACCGCGTCTGGTCTTCTGAAGCTGTGTTGGTCCAAAACCACGTCTCATCTTCTGTAGTTGTGTGGGTCCAAAACCACGTCTGATCTTCTGAAGCTGCATGGGTCCAAAACCGCGTCTGATCTTCTGAAGCTGTGTGTGGGTCCAAACCCACGTCTGATCTTCTGAAGCTGCGTGGGTCCAAAACTACGTCTGATCTTCTGAAGCTGTGTGGGTCCAAAACCACGTCTGATTTTCTGAAGATGCGTGGGTCCAAAACCACGTTTGATCTTCTGAAGATGCGTGGGTCTAAAACCACGTCTGATCTTCTGAAGATGCGTGGGTCCAAAACCACGTCTTATCTTCTGAAGCTGCGTGGGTCCAAAACCATGTCTGATCTTCTGAAGATGCGTGGGTCCAAAACCACGTCTGATCTTCTGAAGATGCGTGGGTCCAAAACCATGTCTCATCTTCTGAAGATGCGTGGGTCCAAAACCACGTCTGATCTTCTGAAGCTGTGAGTGGGTCCAAAACCGTGTCTCATATTATGAAGCTGTGTGGGTCCAAAACCACGTCTCATCTTCTGAAGCTGTTTATGGATCCATTATTATCGGTTGTAGGCTGTTCTCCTGATACGCAGATTTCAAATGATCTGAACATACGTTGTTCCCCACCATCATAGTTTTAGATTGGGAATTAAAGAGATCAACATCTCTAGTTGTAGTTACATAAGTGATAAAAACACCTTCACCTGCCACGATAGCATCACCTTGCTCACACAGTTCAACAAGAACATTACGTCTGGTAATCTTAAGAGTATGTCACACGCCAGCTGGACTTATCCCATTCACGCCTTGTAGGTCAGCGAGCCTGACCACCCGATCCCGTAAGTCGCCTTTTACGACAAGCATAGTCGCCTTTTACGACTTCCATTACGACAGAGTCCAGTGTCAATGCAATAACATTTGATGTTTTAGCTCCGGAATTTGCGCAGTAAGCTGACCGTCCGGGAGCGTGAAAAACGTGGTATGTATAAATTTAACCGTATCCCACATTTGAATACAATTTCAGCTTATGTTCTTATGTCTGAGCATTTTATGTATATCAACGATGACTGCCTTCAGAATGTGATATGTAGAAAAGTAATTTTGAATCCACAAAAACTGTCTAGTTTCTAATATTAATATTATTCCAACATTGTTATGATAATAATTATACATGATTATATAGTTGTCCAGTCACATTTAAATTTAGTTAGGCTGATATTGTTTTTCTAACATTTGCAGAACTACAAGCTTCCCTTTTGACACGCACTGTGTGTGTTACCATGTCTGTTCTGACTTGGCTTTACAAATTTACAAATGTTCATGAATGTAACAAAACAAATAAACCTCATTGCTTTTGACTCTTTTGTGTATTCGGATAACATTCTCAATAACATTATGAACCAAAGTAGGACCATTCCCAGACCAATCTTTTGTGCGATTATAAACGTCAAATTGTTATCAACATCAACAGTTATATTGCATTATATATTATTATATTGTTTCTTGAAGACTAAAGATAGTGACATCAGAGTATATGAACTATTAAACAAGTGTTAACCATTTAAACATGTGCATGTATATTCTATTGACAGAAAAACAATCAGTTGTTCAAGATCTGAAATCAAAGGTCAGTAAAGGTCACATTATGTATCTGCACACATGATAGAATATAGTTAAGGCTGTGTCAAGTTTATGAATATATTGGTAGGGGGGAAAGGAAGGGGACTGTGGGAGATTATTGCACCGTGTGCTTTTGATCGTGAGTGTTTAGTCTGTATAGATATACAGACAGTGCTACTTCTTTCACTATGCTTATTGTATTTAGTGACCTGAAAGAGTGTTATATTAATTATGTATTTTCTTATTGACATTACTCTGAAAACCCTGTCATCCAAGCAGACTGAAAGTGGTTGAAAGTATCATTGTTTTAATCTACTGGTAAATATATTCCCTCATACGAATTCATTTATTGAATTTCAGACGAATAATCTGGAAAAGGAGGTGCAACAGCTCAAACAACAAGCACGTGGTATGGATCCCTCTTTCTTATGAATATGGAAAAGGTTTTGTTGCTTATATTTCTTTATTATCAGAAAATGAAAATTGCAGTGGAAGCTTTTTGCATTAAAATATTGTTTAAAGGTACATGGCTTATGGAATTTATTGTACTTTCAGCTAAAGCCGGGGACACACAAAACATGGAGAAGAAGGTAATGTAAACTTTCACTGACAGGTATACAGTGCATAATGAATAGAAGATGTTTACACCTGTCTAAATATAATGTCAAATGTCACACATTTCTACACTGTTACTTAAATTTACTGTGCGGTTATGGTGCAAATTTATATGGAATCTGCAGTTTCATGCGACATTTCAGCTTACATTACTCTATGTACATCCCATTGTGAACAGAGCTCATGATAACATACGTAATGTGTTTGATGTTACAATTAAAATCCCACTGGGAAAGTCTTGTCATGATAATTAGTTATCTGTACAGAAGATCATTCAGTACTTCGGTGTCAGAATCTTAAAGACACAGAAGTTACATTATGATCAGAGCATAGTATGCACTAATTTGAATATTGGGCTTATCAATAAAAACATGCCTAACTACAAACAAAAAATAAGAAATTTAGTCAATTACGTCAGATCACGCGAGACAACATCATACTTTAGATCACAGGATAGATAGTGGATGATTTCAACGTATTTGCAAATATACAAATATTCCGAAATAGCATACTTTGTAGCCTGCATAATTCATCTTTTTACCAACATCAAATCCGGCGTCACTTCAACTGTTCTTGTGGTTTAGAGCTGAAAGTGTATATGTACCTTAGCATAGCTTACTTAAGCGTCCTACAATATGACAAAAATAACGTCCTACAATATGACAAAAATAACGTCCTACAATATGACAAAAATAACGTCCTACAATATGACAAAAATAACGTCCTACAATATGACAAAAATAACGTCCTACAATATGACAAAAATAGCTATTGTTTTTCTAGATAGGAAAGCTGATGGAAGATGTTAAAATCCACACAGACGAAATAGAAAGTGAGTAGCAAAGTTAATACTTCAATTACGTCAAATGGAACTAGCATTAGAATAATCATTATGCACGTGTAACCTTTACTAGTTCATCGTGTGATCTATTTTCTGTCTGTATACATTCACAATTAGCTTGATATAGCCACTTGATATACTCTCTCAAATGACATGCATTTTGGAAGATACCGATCTTACAACTTTTGATCATTTACAGATTTGGAGAACAACATTATTCCAGATTTAAAGAAACAGGTAACCAATGCTTTCAAACTTAAACAAAACTGGATTTTGAAATTATAAAAGTATCCAATTTCTTCATATACAGCATGCATGTTATGCCTTCTTGCAAAGGCACTGAAATGTGGATCATATACTTTTGTAAATGCTACAAAATAAACTGTGTCATGTTTACAGATACAAACAGTTGAAATCAGGCTTGTACTGCTTAGAGAAACTGTCGAAGGTGGGTTGAATTTCTACTGCACTGATCAGTGAATGATATGGCTTGTAGTGTCAGGTCAAACATCAGCAGTTAACAGTCCTGACACGAGCTGATGCAATATGAAATGTTATGTTCAGCTTAATGCCGGCATATCTTGGCTCAAAACGAACACATTCTCAGTGGGTAATCCTTCAACAAGTGGAAGGATATGAAGACGACTAGAGTTCTGATGACATAGAGCTTGGAGAGTGAGCAGTACAGGACACGACATTGCACTAAACATGTAGAGTCCTTTCTTTGCAACTGAGACATCAACACCTCCACCCCGTTTATGCAATGTTTAGGATAATCGGTGATTAACAGTCACGTCCACGGTTTATTTACATTGATCATTTCAATACTTTTTATCGCGGACTTCAATGAGCTGCCTTGATTTGAAAGCAATATGTGTATTTCACACAGATCTCGTGCAATCTTTGACATCAGTAAGTCTTTTCCATTTAACTTAGAATAAGACCCTGCTAAAAAGTAATAATTTATCAAGTATAGAGTTAGGTGCGCACACACACGCACACACACACACACACACATGCAGGCACGTATACACGCACACACTATCCACCATGTAGTCGAATCTTGTAAACTAACTGAGAAAGAGTTATAAATGTGTCGTTTTTTGTGAACCTTATGTCTAATATTTTTAATTTGCAGACACAACGAATGCCATCCCAGATCTCGAAAAAAGGGTATGCCGTATTTCAACAGCTGTGTATTGTTATTTGTGTGTGTGTGTGTGTGTGTGTGTGGGGGGGGGGGGGGGGGGGGGGGGTGCGGGGGGTTACAAATTGAAACAGAAACATTAACCCGGGCATCAGTAAGTACAGAACAAAATTGTGAAATCAGTAAATGAACAGACACGTTTAAAGAATAATAAACAAACTCTATTAAAACACACAGTTTTAGGTTTACAATCAACAAGGCAATACAATAGGACAGGTAAGTGGCAGAAGCAAGAAATAACAGGCACTAGAATTAATGTAGGTCCACTCAGAATTAATGTAGGTCCACTCAGAATTAATGTAGGTCCACTCACTAACTACGTCACTCTCGAGTGTCTGGAAACAGGCCTGTCACTGTTCTTGAACCCGGAAGCGGACAGGAATCCAATCCTCACTTGGTATATGATAATTGTAAATTGACCTTGTGTGTTGTCGATAAGATGATTCAATCTGAGTGTGGGTTCGAATCCCGGATGGGCCCCAAATCATAAAAGCTCTAGAAGTTCTACTTCCCTAAGAAAATGCTTATCCCACATGCAACATTTGAGACATTTCACCACTTTCTAAACTTGATTGTGCAATATAGGGTAATGTGTACGTACGTATTCAGGATTATCGACTTAGACAACATTGCCATTATGATGTTTCTTAGTTTCCATTGCAGATGGAGGGCCTGAAAATGGATCTGGAAAACTATGGCTTTGAGATAAAATGTAAGACATGTGTCAGTGGAACAAACATTTCATCTTACATTTCTAGCGTTTAAGGCTCTACAGACTGAGTGGGTAACACAATTGCAACTATGAGACATAAGTAATGTTAGCACAGCCACACAAGATAGTTTTTTGAGTTAATAAGATTCTTTATAAAAGGCAAAACATATTGCCTTATTTATATGTATTTGCTTAAAATAATTTAATTTTCTTACAGCTGAGAGGGAGAACGTTGCAGAGCTGTGCATATTGGTAAGATGTATTTTAACAAAATCTGGGTTATACAAATGATTTACAACTTAGCTAAGCTTTTGAGTTTCATCATCAGAGGTCTGCTTACGTCATTCAGTAAATTTTGTGGGATTCATACTGAAGGGCTTACTAATAAGGCCCATGACACTTTGCTATACCTTTACATATATTAGCTGGTCAGATTCGGTGACCTGATTGTCATCGTATCCCTACTACTTGTCTGTACTTGGATCATTGCTCGTGATATCAATCACTAAACAGTCTGGTCCAGACTCGATTGTTTACAGGCAGTTGTCACATGGCAGGAGTACCGCAGTTTAATTTTTTTTATGAACATTCATACTTCATTAATATTTATTCACAGATTCAACAGTTGAAAAAAGACATCTTAGGTATGTTTTATTTCCTTCAATGTGAATGTGAACAGTCCTTAAAGTAATCGAGTGTCAAATGATAAGACAACGCTGCTGGTTTGTAATTTCATAATTAATCGAAAGTAAATTAAGCGCTAATGTTGTAATCATACATTGTGCCAATACTATTCATATAATCTAAATATTAAAAAGCATGTATAGTATTCGAAATCATTGAAATCATTCAGAAGATTTTAAATAATGTTCAGTGTCAATGTTTCGCTCATGCATTCTATAAGTAAACTGTGTACAATGACCATATAACAACAAATTATTCACACGAAAATTCAAATCATCTTTTTTCAGATCAGAAGAAAGAACAGGAAACAATGGCTTCAAGGGCAAGTTCTTTTATAACTTCAAAGATCGATACAGTACTAATTGAACAACATACATTTTATTTCGAACTAATGGCATAAACGTTTTTTTGTAACCCAAGTATTCAAACTGATTCTTTCGAAACTTTTCTTTGTTAGTGAACAAACACATTCTGAATATCATCTACATAGATGATACTACTCACATACACATAGACGGAGAATAACGTTTAGACTGTGGGATTAAGGCACAAAGACGCTTCAATAATTTTCGCTCCGAATATGTCTGATGTCCTTCTATTTGTAACTGGCTCTATCTCTGGATGGATGTGGATGCTGCAATCAATCTCGTCTGGGAATTGGATGATTGTCTCGTGTGTCTCCTGCATATGATGTGAACAGACGTGCGACTGTTTCTCTTGTTTGACCTGCATCGCTCACCTGTAGGCGGCGGGGTAGTCAATCGTTTGAATTCGATGTACACGCGTACTCACTCACTCACACACTCACTCACACACGCATCGCATAAATGGTGGCCTCACATTGCTGTCCCTGATTGCATGTTCGAGGTTTCACAAGCATCTTTCTGAGGTATACTGTTAACTTGTGTCTGTTCTAGTAAAGGGGATCTGTGTATGTCTCTGTGCAGAATTGCATTCCCTAGGGGACAGACATCTATGAAAAAGGGTTCCTGTCCAAGAGTCGCCCTAATGTATCTGGTGTGTCACCACCATACCCGTACTCGTGGGTCTTACAGAAGTAGACCCGTGAAGATCCGGGGTAGAACAGGCCTTCAGCAACCCATGCTTGCCGTAAAAGGCGACTATGCCTGCCGTAAGAAACGACTAACCGGATCGGGTGGTCAGGCTCGCTGACTTGGTTGATCCATGTCTTAGTATCACTGTTGTGTGAATCGATGCTCAAGGTGTCAATCACTGGATTGCCTGGTCCAGACTCGATTATTTACAGACCGCCGTCATATAGCTGGAATATTGCTGAGTGTGGCGTTAAGAAACAAACAAACAAACAAACAAAACAAAGAAAATGACAAATATCTACGTTATGTCCTCCGACATACCTGAATAACTCGCTCTCATCTTTTAACATGTGGTTTCTGTGGTCATGCAGTCACCATCACCATCGACGTTTCTATAGTTCGTGCAAGTACATGTCTTGGTTTGTGTAATTTGTACAATAAATACATAGCTTCTATTACTGGTATTATTTCCGTTATTCTGTAAATACCATACCGGTGTTATTTTCTGTTTTGTGTGGATCAGCCCGTGTTAAGTTAGGACAGTATATGAACTTGCATTTAAGAACTATCTCATGTAACTACACCTTCTCCAGGCGGACGTGCAGTACATGGCCATGCACCTGACACTCAAATCATAGGAAAGGCCCACTTTTTTAGAAGAATGTATTCTGGATATAACATTGCCAGTACTGAACATGTTCCTCTTTCGTGTAGAAACCCCTGGATATCCCCTTGTGTACAACAACTGTATTGCCAAAGGTACATTTCAAACAATCCAATCCATGTTGTTCATACTCTCGCCATACAAGAGAGGCAGAGCATTTTTTCACGTGTTCACGCTATAAGATAACTATGTTCTGTATGAAATGTAGGGCGCTCGGGTAGCCCAGTGGTTAAAGTGTTCGCTCGTCACGCCGAAGACCCGGGTTCGATTCCCGACATGGGTTCAATGTGTGAAGCCCATTTAAGGTGCCCACCGCCGTGATATTGCTGGAATATTGCTAAAAGCGGCGCTGACTTGGTTGATCCATGTCTTAGTATCACTGTTGTGTGAATCGATGCTCAAGGTGTCAATCACTGGATTGCCTGGTCCAGACTCGATTATTTACAGACCGCCGTCATATAGCTGGAATATTGCTGAGTGTGGCGTTAAGAAACAAACAAACAAACAAACAAAACAAAGAAAATGACAAATATCTACGTTATGTCCTCCGACATACCTGAATAACTCGCTCTCATCTTTTAACATGTGGTTTCTGTGGTCATGCAGTCACCATCACCATCGACGTTTCTATAGTTCGTGCAAGTACATGTCTTGGTTTGTGTAATTTGTACAATAAATACATAGCTTCTATTACTGGTATTATTTCCGTTATTCTGTAAATACCATACCGGTGTTATTTTCTGTTTTGTGTGGATCAGCCCGTGTTAAGTTAGGACAGTATATGAACTTGCATTTAAGAACTATCTCATGTAACTACACCTTCTCCAGGCGGACGTGCAGTACATGGCCATGCACCTGACACTCAAATCATAGGAAAGGCCCACTTTTTTAGAAGAATGTATTCTGGATATAACATTGCCAGTACTGAACATGTTCCTCTTTCGTGTAGAAACCCCTGGATATCCCCTTGTGTACAACAACTGTATTGCCAAAGGTACATTTCAAACAATCCAATCCATGTTGTTCATACTCTCGCCATACAAGAGAGGCAGAGCATTTTTTCACGTGTTCACGCTATAAGATAACTATGTTCTGTATGAAATGTAGGGCGCTCGGGTAGCCCAGTGGTTAAAGTGTTCGCTCGTCACGCCGAAGACCCGGGTTCGATTCCCGACATGGGTTCAATGTGTGAAGCCCATTTAAGGTGCCCACCGCCGTGATATTGCTGGAATATTGCTAAAAGCGGCGTAAAAACAAACTCACACACTCATTCGCTGAATGATATATGAACAAAATTATTTTCAGATACAGAAAATTGAAACAGACGAACTGCATATCAAAGCAGAAATGGCAAAACAACTTGAAGGTATGCATGATACAATACATACATAGAATCAGGCAATTATACATGTAAAGTGGTTATACTACCTAAATGCCTGCAACCATCAAGCTTATTATTTTTCACTGAATGAAGTCTTATGAAACTCATGCTACACTGTCAAGATATTTTTCGAAGGTCGTTGACATGATACCATTTAAAAGATTTCATAACTATCTTCAGATGAACGGAGAGAAAAAGAAGAATTACAAAGAAAGGCAAGTACTGCTCGATTTACTTCACCAGGGACACTCGTGTATTAATCAGAGGACAGCAATCAGGTGGCAGAAATTATAGCTCTCCATCATTATGTCACTCATCATCTCTTGTCACGTGACGAGGTGACGCCATGTAGTTTAAACTTTTATGCAGCTTAGTGATTTTTTTTATTTATTAAATATATGGAATGAACTACACATGGATGATACAAATGAGTAGTTTCGAGATTATGGAAATTAAAGTTACGAAAAAGGCAAAAATGACCGCCAAGTGAAAACTAACGTCATAAAACGTCATTTATTAATGCATTGTTTCCATGCACGCTTATGCTCAGGTCGGTATGATATGCATGGATGCACTCATTTGAGGGAAGACTGACTTTTCCATTATGACACATCATTGTACTGCTCAGATGAAAATATCGAATATGTTAATTTTATGACACATCCCATATATAATTAAATGCATAACAGTTCCCTTAAGTTAATCCGGACGATGTCAATGGCTACAATAGAGTCCGGACTAGAGGCGTTACACTATATATGCTTTAAGTGTGATTGAGACAAAGTAGTGTGTCTGTTCCATTTACCAGCAACAAAAAACTCCTTGAGTGACACCTACTGTCTTCAATACTTGTTACAGGCACAAAAACAACACGAAGAGATGACGGAAATGAAAGCCAAACTGGAACAATTACTCAACGGTATGTAATATGTAATAATATTCGTACATTCATATAAATGCATGCATGCACGCACGCACGCACACTCACACACACTGCATACATACATACATACATACATACATACATACATACATACATACATACATACATACATACATACATACATACATTTTGATAAACACATGCAAGTTGGCCCTTTATCCATGGTTTCAAATATGCATGCCTCTCATGTATTCTTGGTAATGAACAAACGTCCAAAGTTACATAATCGTGCGTGCATAGTGTAGAAATTATAATCAGTGAAACTATAAAACAGTAAAGTTTAAACAAACAATTTCTTTAACATCAATGAACAATACACGACCGCAAATACACTTTCAATTCAGTGATACATATTGACAAACACAATTATGTTGTTTTAGATGAAAGGGAAGCAACAGCACGAAAGGTAAATACAACTTTAATTACTGCCTCGTTCTCTGGGAGAATATTCCTTGATTTCCCATCTGTTTCTGAGTTTGATATTCCTAAAAACTTCCTAAATTTTCTAAACTTTACAAACACGGAGAACAAGTGTCAGTCGCCATGGTGACAACGCCCAAGCATATTGTGTTTGTTCCCATTTTGTTGTCTTCGTCATAATCGTACGCTGAATTTTTTTATCAGTGTTGTGAATTTGTTGCTACAATGGCAATCCAGATAATTCCCCTTTCATTATTACAGATACAGGAACAGGCGAAACACATCCAAGACTTGATGGAACAGACACAGCAAGGTAGGTTTCTATAGTCCTATAGTCCTATAGTTCTCTTAGACACCATTATGTCCTGAGAATGCGAGACTGTTACATTTCACTGACAGCAAACGTTTCCGTGTATGGCGGCAGGTCTGTTTCCTCACACGACCAGTTCGGGGAGTATTTTCCACGCATCCCTTTGAACAATGTTCGCCATTCGGCCACGTGACCATCACACACATCACGTGACTGAATTTCGAAAAGATAAGTAAGTGTGACATTTTGCATGCGTCACCAGAGCCACGTAATTGAAAAATGTGTAGATGTATACGTAGCAATTGTATAGATACCCATTGTATCTGGGCGACAGCTATGGTGGAATACAATGTGCGTGTCGACTGTGGTAAAGGAATACTCAGACAATGGTGCTATAGTGACATTTCTTTCGCTTATAATACGTCACACGTCTGAATAAGAACGATAATCCAACTTACATCTAAGCATACCGACAAAAAAAACGTTAAAAAGATGCATGGTACTTGTTAATTGCCTCCTGTCAAACTATCTCAAAACGCATGGTAGGCGATGACAGTCAATTATTTTTAGACATCCATAAGTGCTATGGTCACTGACACACGAATGGTCAAACTCTTTGGTCAAGCTAAAATTATATGAGGTCAGTTTTTATAGAACGATCTCAACTGATATTGTGTCTAGACCAGTCATGGAAATAAAATCTGGGATACTCAAATACACTTTACAAATTTGAAACTGATGTGACTATTTTGTAAACCATATCCTTTTCTAATTTTCAAAGTGTTTTTTTACGTATTTAACTCCGCCAAGATCCCTTAACTCTGTTTAACCACCTTAAATATAAGGTTATATCGAATATAGGACAATATGTCTTTATAAACCCAAAATGAGTTTTTTTAATTTGTATAAAATGTCCTTTGTCTAACTAAAATAGATGTTAAAATTAATTTTTCCCACCAGAACTACACTGGTGGGCGCCATATCTTTCTGATAAAAATATAATTTAAATACACAGGAATAACATAGAACGGAATAAAAATCAGAAAACAATGTTTCGTATTTGACTTGTATGTACCATGTAGGTTTGCTATTGATATTCATATGCAGACATTTTGATGCAAAGAAATAACGAATCAACCATGTTATAACAATTTCACCCACAATTAATGAATTCAAACTAAAATACTAATAATTCCATCAATTAAAATGATGAATAGGTAGCTGATGTAAAACCCAGGGTTAGAAATAGGGCCTAGTCCTACAGTCAAAACTGCCATAATCAAGAGTTTTGCTACATGTTATCAGTATAAGGACCATTGGACTGAAACAGTTGCTAGGCATATAGGTCGGACAGGTGTTTGAAACTTCATTGGGTGTTCCAATATAAAATGCACATATTCTGTTCCAATATAATGCACATATTCTGTTCCAATATAATGCACATATTCTGTTCCAATATAATGCATAAATTTTTCTTTTTGTTTTAGATGAGATTTTACTTTGAGTGAAGTGACATATACTTAGATTCAAACTTTAGAAATTGGACTAAGGAAGTGTCTCTATAGACACGCGAGGCAGATGAACAACAATCTAAATCTAATTTAAGGGATTTATCTCCGTGTATTTTTACCTCTGCTATAACAAATGTGTTTTAATCTAATTCTTCAGTGAATATTTTAAAAAGGCAACACATTTGTGCAAACGCAAATGTCTGTGGCCAGTATTTCTGAACAGCATATTCTTTGTTTCAGCCTCAAGTCACTCGAGTAGAAATCCGGGACAGATCGAGGGGCTGTCACATATCCAACTGACGCAACAAGAGACTGATCTACACGGTAGGTGGAAGATCCCAGCAGGTGGTAGATACTATCACTGTCCAACTGTGTAACAAGAGACTGAACTACACGGTAGGTGGAAGATCCCAGCAGGTGGTAGATACTATCACTGTCCAACTGACGCAACAAGAGACTGAACTACACGGTAGGTGAAAGATCCCAGCAGGTGGTAGATACTATCACTGTCCAACTGTGTAATAAGAGACTGATCTACACGGTAGGTGGAAGATCCCAGCAGGTGGTAGATACTATCACTGTCCAACTGTTTAACAAGAGACTGATCTACACGGTAGGTGGAAGATCCCAGCAGGTGGTAGATACTATCACTGTCCAACTGTGTAATAAGAGACTGATCTACACGGTAGGTGGAAGATCCCAGCAGGTGCTAGATACTATCACTGTCCAACTGACGCAACAAGAGACTGATCTGCACGGTAGGTGGAAGATCCCAGCAGGTGGTAGATACTATCACTGTCCAACTGTGTAACAAGAGACTGATCTGCACGGTAGGTGGAAGATCCCAGCAGGTGGTAGATACTATCACTGTCCAACTGTGTAACAAGAGACTGAACTACACGGTAGGTGGAAGATCCCAGCAGGTGGTAGATACTATCACTGTCCAACTGTGTAACAAGAGACTGATCTACACGGTAGGTGGAAGATCTCAGCAGGTGGTAGATACTATCACTGTCCAACTGTGTAACAAGAGACTGATCTGCACGGTAGGTGGAAGATCCCAGCAGGTGGTAGATACTATCACTGTCCAACTGTGTAACAAGGGACTGAACTACACGGTAGGTGGAAGATCCCAGCAGGTGGTAGATACTATCACTGTCCAACTGTGTAACAAGAGACTGATCTACACGGTAGGTGGAAGATCCCAGCAGGTGGTAGATACTATCACTGTCCAACTGTGTAACAAGAGACTGATCTGCACGGTAGGTGGAAGATCCCAGCAGGTGGTAGATACTATCACTGTCCAACTGTGTAACAAGAGACTGATCTGCACGGTAGGTGGAAGATCCCAGCAGGTGGTAGATACTATCACTGTCCAACTGTGTAACAAGAGACTGAACTACACGGTAGGTGGAAGATCCCAGCAGGTGGTAGATACTATCACTGTCCAACTGTGTAACAAGAGACTGATCTACACGGTAGGTGGAAGATCTCAGCAGGTGGTAGATACTATCACTGTCCAACTGTGTAACAAGAGACTGATCTGCACGGTAGGTGGAAGATCCCAGCAGGTGGTAGATACTATCACTGTCCAACTGTGTAACAAGAGACTGATCTACACGGTAGGTGGAAGATCTCAGCAGGTGGTAGATACTATCACTGTCCAACTGTGTAACAAGAGACTGATCTACACGGTAGGTGGAAGATCTCAGCAGGTGGTAGATACTATCACTGTCCAACTGTGTAACAAGAGACTGATCTGCACGGTAGGTGGAAGATCCCAGCAGGTGGTAGATACTGTCACTGTCCAACTGTGTAACAAGAGACTGATCTACACGGTAGGTGGAAGATCCCAGCAGGTGGTAGATACTACCAACTGTGTCACAAGGGACTGAACTACACGGTAGGTTGAAGATCCCAGCAGGTGGTAGATACTATCACTGTCCAACTGTGTAACAAGAGACTGATCTACACGGTAGGTGGAAGATCTCAGCAGGTGGTAGATACTATCACTGTCCAACTGTGTAACACATATCACCCAGAGAGCCCACTCCACAACCCTTTTCAATCAACAGGTTGATAAATAGATCTACATTAAATCTATTATTATCTTCTTGATTTCAAACAAGTCAACAATTGCAGTCACAGTTCTACCATAAAACTCCATCCAACAAACGTGTATGGGCACGCGGCGTCGATGAATAGAAATCCCAATTTATAGAATGGCAATAACGTGTCTGCCGACAGTAATTATAATGTTTATGTGCTATATACAGTTTTCTGAACATCATATTCTATGTTTGAGCATCGAGTGACCCCGAGGTTTACTCCACAGCCTAGATCGAAAAAACAAGCAGGTGGTAGCTCACTCCTCAAACCTTCGTCAAAACAGCTTCTACAACTGACCGTCATATAGCTGGAGTATTCCTGAGTACAGCGTAAAACAACAAACAAGATGACATTAATCAACTCAGGTCACCAACCCATACACAGAATAATGTTACAACTACTGGATGTAACAAAGATTTTAAACATTGAATTCATAATCCTTGATTACATGAACCAGCTGTCGTTCTTCACCTTGATCGTTGTATTGTCAGCCATGTTGGAAGTGTTTGATGACGTGTCTTGTCACGTGTCAACAGGGTGAGGTGTGAACCATGTGGATGTATGACGAAGATGTCTGGATGTGTACAGTGTTTACTTTGTGTTACAGCGACTCCATCACCAGCAGACTGCGACCGCCTCCATGGCGCCAGCGGGGACGGGGACCTGGAGGAGGTGAAGCGGCTCCTGTCTCTGGGCGTCAACATCAACAGTAGAGGACAGTTCAGCAGGACACCGGTGATGTGGGCAGCAGTGGAGGGACACAGAGACGTGGTGGAGCTCCTGGAGAGTGAAGGGGCCGATGTGTCACTGGTGGACGAGGACGGTTACAACATCCTTCACTTCGCCTGTATTAGAGGACACTTAGAGACGGTGGAGTTTGTGCTGTCACTGAACGAGGTGGACATCAACAGAAGAGGAGAGGGGAGCAAGACACCGGTGATGAGGGCAGCAGAGTTGGGACACAGGGAGGTCGCGGGGCTCCTGGTGAGTAAAGGGGCTGATGTGTCACTGGTGGACGAGGACGGTTACAACACCCTTCACTTCGCCTGTCTGGGAGGACACTTGGAGACGGTGGAGTTTGTGCTGTCTCTGAACGTGGTGGACATCAACAGTAGAGGACTGAAGAGCAGGACACCGGTGATGTGGGCAGCAATGAAAGGAAACAGTGACGTGGTGAAGCTCCTAGTGAGTAAAGGAGCCGATGTGTCACTGGTTGACGTGGATGGTGGCAACATTCTTCACTTCGCCTGTCTGGGAGGACAGTTGGAGACGGTGGAGTTTGTGCTGTCTCTGAACGTGGTGGACATCAACAGTAGAGGACTGAGGAGCAGGACACCGGTGATGTGGGCAACAGAGCGGGGACACAGAGACGTGGTGGCGCTCCTGGCGAGTAAAGGAGCCGATGTGTCACTGGTGGACGTGGACGGTGGCAACATCCTTCACTTAGCTTGTATGAGAGGACACATGGAGATGATGGAGTTTGTGCTGTCTCTGAACGTGGTGGACATCGACGCCAGGAACAACTTGGGGGAGACAGCGGCCGACGAGGCGAGATCCGGGGGACATCCGCGATTGGTGGATCTGCTCGTGTCCCGCGGCGGTCATTGAGGTCAGTGTCGTGTTTGTGTAGACGGTGGAGAAGGACGCTGACAGAGACGTGGTGTGCCGTTCACGTCGTCGAGTGTAAATATGTCTTTATTTAGGTGAAACTGTTTGTTGTTTTTGGAGATAAATAAAACTTGTAAAAACTTTTTTCAGACATTTTGTCATTTGTTGGGTTTGGAACTTCTCATGATCAGGTAAGAAAATTGTTATCAGAGTGTAAATAGAGATGATGTGTGATTGGTGTGTAAACCCCGCACCCCGTTATGCATTTATGCATATCGTTTTATATTTTTGTGTTGATATTACGTCAAAAGTTGTCGTGAAAAGCACACACAAAAATCTTTGTTTACATCTTGCTGCACTCGGTGACCTCAGACCCAGCTGACGTGGCGCCAAATGTACAATGACAGTGACGTCACACTGTCGATGACGTCACGGCATTCCGGCTTAGGTCTAAACACTGAAGCTGCCGGTGTGACATTGAAAATGGACCCGCGTTGAAAGTTGAGTCAGTATTCAACGTTGAATACAAACCCGGTCTCACTTTTCAACAGACCAGGGTCAAATTTCAACAGTTGAAAAGTGACCCTGTCAGCTTACCAAGTCGTTAAATAGTGACCCGGGCCTCGCGTTGAAAAGTGACTCCGTTGAATTGTGACTTGTGGTTTATTCTGCTTACCAGAAGACTCTTTATAGCATGTCTAAATTGGTGCAAATACTTATGTTTGTTTGATTGGGTTTTATGTGGCTTTGGGTAGTATTTCAACCATAACGCCACGGTGGTTACAACGAGGCTCCAGTCTTCGGGCTGAACGAAAGTGACCCGGTGGGTGCATGTGTGTTAGAGCAAGTATGTGGGTGCTGGGTAGTATTATATATGTATGTATGTGTGTGTGAGAGAGAGACACCTACAATCTGGAAGCCGTAAATAGAAAGAGGCACACCGAAAGCGTTCTCAACCTAAAACGTCCCCAGCATAAAATGTTCATGGTGGTGTTAGGAATTGCTTTTAATTATTATATTTTCGAAGTGTTAACATGATGTCAAGTATATTTCAGTACAAGAATATATAAATGTTGTAATTTGAGGTCATTCTGATATAATTTTATTGATGCAAATATATATTGCGTTGGCACGCAAGTTGGTATATTTATATACAAACTTCAACCCTGCTATATTTCAAAATATAAAATCCCACTTCACAAACGAATAAACAATATTGTGAGAAGTTAGTATCAATAAGATTAGTTAAAAAACACTAACATTAAAAGCACCATTCGCATTCGATGCGTGGGAACGTTTTCGGTCGAACTCAAAAGAAACCATAAATCTAATGCATGACAAAGGTCTGAAAGGACAGACTGCAAGTGTTACCAGCTACCAAAAAGACGTGCCCACAACGTTGTAAGAACGTTACTTTGTTTAAGCAACGTGACATTGTCGTAATATTGTACAACGTATTAAACCAGCCAATAAGTCGAACGTCGCACAGACGTTGCATGGTTCCACAGGAACGTTCTCGTAACATTACTGGGAGTCTACATAGTAACCAAATAGTAACCTACGAATGCAACGTTGCCTGGACACCCTGTGTTAACTGGGTAATTAGCATCTCTGTTGGAAGGGTGGATCACATCATCATCAGGATTAGGAATAACAACGGTTTATGCAAGGCGGGTGAAGCAAATCAGAAATGCATAGTTTTGTAGTATAAACCCTAGAAGTTTCTGATCACATATGTTACATTGACCACTACCATCATTTGCAACGTGAAACAAAAGTGCAGACCGAGCGATGGCGGCACCAGACTCGCCAACAGCAAAATACCAAGTTTGGTTTCAAAAGATTAAACTTTTTTACTATTTCTGAAAAGGTCAAACACTCAAAAGATCACACAAAGGTAAGGATCAAAGACACATCTGCATACTATAAGCATTTCAAGATAAGAAAGCTGAAAACCTGACCAAAAGGGCAATGTTCTATTAAATCAGTGAACTGTTTCCGTATGACTGTGGCAATGAAGGCAACTCTTCGAAAAAACACAAAATCAAAGTGATTGAGCTCGTTTAAAAAATTAACAATGATGTTACACTTTACACAATTCCAATAAAATACTGTTTTAATTGTGGAAAGTGATAAGATATAACACTTACATGTATACACGTTTATTGGTAACTTTCATCAGTTTTGCTCTTCATTTTAACAACTTGGTTTTCACATATACATGTTGCAATACCCGACAAGCATGTCATACATAATTATAGGGCAGTTTTCAATTTTGTCCTGACTTATTCTGGTGTTAATGAGCGAAGTTTATTGGCTTGGGTGTTATATCCCGTTTTTCTGGTAATCCTATTATTACTTTATTTCTATCTAATGACACCCTGTTCTCTGGATCATGGCTCCGTGAATATCCATAACAATTAAGATGAACATTCAGTTCAAGTAAATGAATGAGAATGTTTTAACGCAACAATCAGTCAAAAACCAATGCTGCTAGGTTTGATTACACACTTCTACCAGGTCGAACATCGTTGATCCGCATTTTCTACCTTAAGAGAATCATAGTTCATATGCTATACCATCTGCGAATACCGTCCCACTCAAGGTGACCTTACTTGTTGCTAAATCTATCATCTATCCCCCTACTCTCACCCCCAAGCCCCCCCCCCCCCCCCAGCCCCATCCCACACGCACACACACGCACGCACACATACACGCATGCGTGCGCGCGCACACACACACACACACACACACACACACACACACACACACAAAAACACACACACACAAAAACACACAAAAAACGGACCTAAATAACCTGGACAGGAAATACTGCTGATAGCCTCTGGTCAACTCAGCCGCGCTACCGCAGAATGTTCGTCCAACTCTGTAGGGGGCGTTCTCAGAGTGGCTTCAAACGCGCTGAAATGTTTTCGCCTTGCATCCAAGATGGTGGACAAGTGAAATCGTATGAAATGTGGCTATTTTAGGTCGCGGTCTCCTCTTTGATTACCCAATAAAGTCAAGTCATAGTTACACGGTTGTGAAGAAGCTTACAACTTTATAACACTTATTCCTCTCATTCCAAGAGAGCTACTCGTGTTCACATAAAGTTGTAGTTATTATGTCACTGTTTTATTTCTTTAAAAATATATTACGTGTTCATCAATGACAATTAAGATGAACATTCAATTTCCGATACAAGTAAATGAATAAGTGTGTTTTACGCCACAATCAGTCAAAAACCAACGTTGTCCGGTCTGATGACACAAAATCTACCAGGTAGAACATTGTGTACACCCTAACCCCATTGAAGCCTCCACTGTGGGTATTCCTGGTGACGAATAGGCCCCATGTACCTAGGAATCTCATTAATATATTCATGCGCGGCATTCTCTGCCTCAAGAAGATCATATAGTTAACATGCTAATCCAACTCGAACTACCATTCAAGATGAATGTTTTATGTGAAATCCAACAGGCCGACATTCACACACACACGCACGCACGCACGCACGCACGCACACTATCATAATTATCATCATTATTTATGTTTCTTATCCTCAAGTGAAGTAGTTCTCCACACTATACATTCAGTGAAGACGCCCATGAACATATTAACTGTGTAACATACATTAATGGAAATTAGATGAACAGTCGAAGTTAGCAAATGATATTATTCGGTCGAACGTCTATCAGCCATCTATTCTATTCATGAAGAACATTTCACGTGGGACCAACAGAGGGAATTATGACTATCGACTTGCTAATTATTTTTTTATATTCATGCTGGCTCAAACGATCTATTGGTTTGGTTTATTGTTATGGTATCCACAAAGTAAGTAGGATCCGTTTTTTTCCTTTTTTGGTGAAATAAAACTGAATTATATTTGCTGTTCACATATCAAAGTTTGCCAAATTGTTACAAAATGTTTGCCCACAGCAAGGCTACGTATCCCCAACATATTGTGCTAGGCACAGTATAACTGGACTGAGGGAGGGCGGTATTCCTCCTTGTGGGTCACCTGCTTGGCAATATGGGACGGGGAAACTGCAGGGGGTGAGGGCAGTTAAGTTGATGGCACAGACACATAAGAGAGATCGTTTTACAAATATGAAACCTCACTCCACAAAGGAAGAGGCGAAAGCTGAAACTTGGTGAGGTTTACAGAACAAAGGCAGTTGTTTCTAGTTTCATACTGACTCTCGAGGATACATTTAATAAAACAATTAATGTGTGTGTGTATGTGTGTGTGTGTGTGTGCGTGCGTGCGTGCGTGCGTGCGTGCGTGCGTGCGTGCGTGCGTGCGTGCGTGTGTGTGTGTGTGTGTGTGTGTGTGTGTGGAAGAAGAAGAATTGTACAGCATAAAAATGGCTACGTAGTTCGGGTAGATATGTAGAATGCCCGACCTTTGAGTCACTACAGTTTCAGTCATTAAAATGCGTGAAACAGTATTTGAGTGAAAGAAAACACTATAAGTCAGTGAGACCTCAGTACAGGCACACCCAGTCCCCCAACCCAATGTCTGCATGTATCAATACTCATACCTGCCACATCCTCAACCACTTAACTTACTCACACGTTCATCTCACAACATGTTCGCCAACCCTCGTATCAAAACGCATGCACGCACGCACACACACATCACATTCTTCTTTCCCCACCATTATGTCTACGTCAGCCATCATGGATCCATGCGCATGCTTTCATACATAATCCATCCTCCCACCATTCCCCAACATCCATCGAACTGTAACTATATCCGCCCTCATGTATCGGTATTCGTGCTTACACACATACACCCTCCTACCATTCCCCTACATCCATCGCACTATAACTATGACTATAACCGCCTTCGTGCATCCGCACTTATGTTCACATTGCATTGCATATTCATCGAATTACACGTTTAAAATATCGTAAATATGTTACAACATGTACATATTAAATATCAGCAAACACAGATTATTATAACGCAATAGATTTCATCCGTCAAAACATCACAGAAAGAGGGGCAGCCTGGAATTTTACAATGGCATCAGAATGCACTAAGAAGGTCAACTGGTCAGGAGGTGAGAGTTGCGGAAGATTACGATAAACTTAACTTACAGATCTCCATTACGAATATCTAAAGTATGAATAAA